AACTGTTCTAACTGGAATTGATATTATATTAGTGGTAAGCTATATATGATACTATTATCTGAAATTATGCTAATATTGGCCCTAAACAAATCCTAAGCCTGGGCTCTATTTAGCCAGAGCCAGGTTGCCAGTGTACGAATAACTGCTCCTTTTTCCCACATCTATCAATCTCCATACAAACTAGACTAGACGTGTTCTTAAAATGGACTTAGTGTCTGCTAAAGTACTCTTGACTACAGTTCTGCTTTTGATGTATTTGCATTGTTTTGTTTCTCTTGTCATTACCTCAGCACAGACACAAACAATCTGACTGTGGTTCTGGGTCTCCAGAATCAACAGGAATCAAACCCCAATCAAGTGTCTCGGACGGTAACACAGATCATCATTCATCCCAACTATAGCAGTTTAAGTTCTGACAATGACATCTGCCTCGTGGAGCTCTCCTCGCCGGTAAATTTCACAAACTACATCCAGCCTGTCTGCCTGGCAGCTCAAGGCAGCACCTTCAACAATGGCACTGTAGCCTGGCTTAACGGCAGGACAGACCTTGGAGGTGGGTCTATTTAGCACTAAAAAAATACAACGTCAATATTTGGGTTAAAAACAAAACAAAGAAAACTCATGTAAAATTCCATTCCACGCACTTTACAACCTAATACTACATAGTTATTTTAGACCAGGGGTCCTCAACTACTTTTTGTTCAAGGGCCAGAATTTCTCCAAGCAGACACCGCAAGGGCCGGACCAAAAAAAAGTTTTTGTTTAGGCTTAATTAGCATACTAGTGACATACAGTGGGTACGGAAAGTATTCAGACCCCTTTAAATTTTTCACTCTTTGTTTCATTGCAGCCATTTTCCAAAAATCAAAAAAGTTCATTTTATTTCTCAGTAATGTACACTCAGCACCCCATCTTGACAGAAAAAAAACAGAAATGTAGAAATTTTTGCAAATTTATTAAAAAAGAAAAACTGAAATATCACATGGTCATAAGTATTCAGACCCTTTGCTCAGTATTTAGTAGAAGCACCCTTTTGATCTAATACAGCCATGAGTCGTTTTGGGAAAGATGCAACAAGTTTTTCACATCTGGATTTGGGTATCCTCTGCCATTCCTCCTTGCAGATCCTCTCCAGTTCTGTCAGGTTGGATGGTAAACGTTGGTGGACAGCCATTTTCAGGTCTCTCCAGAGATGCTCAATTGGGTTTAAGTCAGGGCTCTGGCTGGGCCATTCAAGAACAGCCACGGAGTTGTTGTGAAGCCACTCCTTCGTTATTTTAGCGGTGTGCTTAGGGTCATTGTCTTGTTGGAAGGTAAACCTTCGGCCCAGTCTGAGGTCCAGAGCACTCTGGAAAAGGTTTTCGTCCAGGATATCCCTGTACTTGGCCGCATTCATCTTTCCCTCGATTGCAACCAGTCGTCCTGTCCCTGCAGCTGAAAAACACCCCCACAGCATGATGCTGCCACCACCATGCTTCACTGTTGAGACTGTATTGGACAGGTGATGAGCAGTGCCTGGTTTTCTCCACACATACCGCTTAGAATTAAGGCCAAAAAGTTCTATCTTGGTCTCATCAGACCAGAGGATCTTATTTATCACCATCTTGGAGTCCTTCAGGTGTTTTTTAGCAAAATCCATGCGGGCTTTCATGTGTCTTGCACTGAGGAGAGGCTTCCGTCGGGCCACTCTGCCATAAAGCCCCGACTGGTGGATTGCTGCAGTGATGGTTGACTTACTACAACTTTCTCCCATCTCCCGACTGCATCTCTGGAGCTCAGCCACAGTGACCTTTGGGTTCTTCTTTACCTCTCTCACCAAGGCTCTTCTCCCCCGATAGCTCAGTTTGGCCGGACGGCCAGCTCTAGGAAGGGTTCTGGTCGTCCCAAACGTCTTCCATTTGAGGATTATGGAGGCCACTGTGCTCTTAGGAACCTTAAGTGCAGCAGAAATTTTTTTGTAACCTTGGCCAGATCTGTGCCTTGCCACAATTCTGTCTCTGAGCTCTTCAGGCAGTTCCTTTGACCTCATGATTCTCATTTGCTCTGACATGCACTGTGAGCTGTAAGGTCTTATATAGACAGGTGTGTGGCTTTCCTAATCAAGTCCAATCAGTATAATCAAACACAGCTGGACTCAAATGAAGGTGTAGAACCATCTCAAGGATGATCAGAAGAAATAGACAGCACCTGAGTTAAATATGAGTTTCACGGCAAAGGGTCTGAATACTTATGACCATGTGATATTTCAGTTTTTCTTTTTTAATAAATTTGCAAAAATTTCTACATTTCTGTTTTTTTCTGTCAAGATGGGGTGCTGAGTGTACATTACTGAGAAATAAAATGAACTTTTTTGATTTTTGGAAAATGGCTGCAATGAAACAAAGAGTGAAAAATTTAAAGGGGTCTGAATACTTTCCGTACCCACTGTACATGGTACATGGTAACAAAAGAAAAAATAAGGGCTAACGCTGCTAAGGATGCATGGGAGATTCAGCTCAGAATAACAGTAACAATATAGCTATACAATAAGATAGTTTGGCCTCTCTGCACTCCGTATGCCCTCACAATTCACCTTCCTTACAAAGCTATAATCAGATGTAAAGAGGTATGCTATGACAGTCCTGTAATAAAATTGGAATAGACTGTGTGGGCTACACACATTTCATCACTTGTGTTGTTTACTAAACTGAATTTGTTTCTCTTTAGAGGCACTTCTAATCCCAGAAAACCTAACGGAGGTGGAGCTGCTGATTCTGGGGAACAGACAGTGTGATTGTGACTACACAAATGGCAGTCTCACAAGCAGCATGTTGTGCGGCAGGGTAAATGATGGAGAGGAGATCTCCTATCAGGTGATCAATTTTACGCCTTTGTATGATTCAGATTTGACCTTCTGCAAAGATTCCTTCTCCTAAATGTTTCTCTCTTTAAAGTTGTATATTGGAGATCCACTGGTGAGCAAGCAGGGTGGTCGCTGGATCCAGGATGGAGTAAGTATTTTGACTTTTTTTCCTCAGCCTAATTTCCCAGCATTGTTCACCAGAGTTTCCCAGTATCAGTCGTGGATCAACAACCAGACCACCAGAAACCAGCCAGGCTTCGTCACCTTCATGTCCAATGGGACTGACAGTGACCTCAGTGTCAGCTGTCTTGTGGTGCCACCTCTTCCAACAATCCTTGCTCCAACCATCCTCTCTTCAACCAGCTTTACTACGACAACCCTCAATTCAACAACCCTCACTTCAACCAGCCTCCCTCCAACAACCACCCTCGCTCCAACAACCCCAGCTCCAACCACCCTCACTTCAACAACCCCAGCTCCAACAACCCTCACTTCAACAACCCAAGCTCCAACCACCTTCACTTCAACAACCACCCTCACTCCAACAACCCCAGCTCCAACCACCCTCACTTCAACAACCCCAGCTCCAACAACCCTCACTTCAACAACCCAAGCTCCAACCACCTTCACTTCAACAACCACCCTCACTTCAACAACCCAAGCTCCAACCACCCTCACTTCAACAACCCCAGCTCCAACAACCCAAGCTCCAACCACCTTCACTTCAACAACCACCCTCACTTCAACAACCCAAGCTCCGACCACCCTCACTTCAACAACCCCAGCTCCAACAACTCTCACTTCAACAACCACAGCTCCAACAACTCTCACTTCAACCACCCTCACTTCAACAACCCAAGCTCCAACCAGCTTCACTTCAACAACCAGCCTCACTCCAACAACCCAAGCTCCAACCAGCCTCACTTCAACAACCAGCCTCACTCCAACAACCCAAGCTCCAACCACCTTCACTTCAACAACCACCCTCACTTCAACAACCCAAGCTCCAACCACCTTCACTTCAACAACCACCCTCACTTCAACAACCCAAGCTCCAACCAGCCTCACTTCAACAACCAGCCTCACTCCAACAACCCAAGCTCCAACCACCTTCACTTCAACAACCACCCTCACTTCAACAACCCAAGCTCCAACCAGCCTCACTCCAACAACCCAAGCTCCAACCAGCCTCACTTCAACAACCACCCTCACTTCAACAACCCAAGCTCCAACCAGCCTCACTTCAACAACCAGCCTCACTTCAACAACCCAAGCTCCAACCACCTTCACTTCAACAACCACCCTCACTTCAACAACCCAAGCTCCAACCACCCTCACTTCAACAACCCCAGCTCCAACAACTCTCACTTCAACAACCACAGCTCCAACCAGCCTCACTCCAACAACCCTCACTTCAACAAGCCCAGCTCCAACAACCCTCACTTCAACAAGCCCAGCTCCAACCAGCCTCACTTCAACAACCCCAGCTCCAACCAGCCTCACTCCAACAACCCTCACTCCAACAACCCCAGCTCCAACCAGCATTACTTCAACAACCCAAGCTCCAACCACCCTCAATTCAACAGCACAAGCTCCAGCCACCCTTAGTTCAACAACTCGAGCTCCAGCCACCCTCACTTCAACCAGCCTCGCTCCATCAACCCTCACTTCCACCAGCTTCGCCCCAACAATCCTCAGTTCAACAACCCATGCTCCAACCAGCCTCACTTCAACCAGCCTCACCCCAACCACCCTCACTTCAACAGCTCTCGCTCCAACCACCCTTACTTCAACAGCTCTCGCTCTAACAACAACATCCCCACGTAAGTGCCTGTCATGCCCAGACTTTGATTACTCAACCTACATTTCATTTTGGAAGGCTTGAACATTTTATATTTTTCTTCCACACAGTATAACAGTTTCATATATATTATGTAACAGCTTGTTCCAGCTCTTCATTGAAGCTGTATGAATTTTACAATGATGAAAATATTCAAACCAAAGACTGTCTATTCTTTATTGCTGCACTTTTTCATCAGGATGAAATATCCCAGATGTGTTTTGTATCATTTTGTCCAAATGTCCTCAAACATTCAGCCTGCCTCTCCACTATAAATATAATAAGGTTATGTAGGTTGTACAAAGGTTGACTAAACAACATGACGTAATGCTGGATCAACAGTATCTGGTCTGAGATTATAAGGCTTTACACTTTGGATTTGATTGTCTACCTTTTGCTTTTCTTTCCAGCTGTAGTCTGTGGCCAAGCCCCACTGAATTCACATATTCTGAGAGGAAGCAAATTGGCGACAGCTGGTGTTTGGCCATGGATGGCGAGCCTACGGAACAATGGAAGTCATGCGTGTGGTGGGACTCTGGTGGCTTTGGACTTTGTTTTGAGCAGCGCCAACTGCTTCTCAAGGTGAGACACCTGCAGTGATATAATGGATGGCATAATTCTGTTTAATGGTTGAGCCATTTAAGAACAGAAGGATTTTTTAAAAACACTCAATAGGAACAAGACTTTCAAGTCAACAGCCAGCAGCTCTGAGACATTGTACTTTGAGCTAAACGCTAACATCAAGATGCTACCATGCTCGCAATGATAATGCTAACATGCTGATGTTTAGCCAGTAATAATGCTATGTGCACCATTTTATTTTAGCATTTTAGCAAGCTAGCATTAGCACTAAACACAAAGTAAAATTGAGGCTTATGCGAAAGTTCTTTCTTTTGCAGTATGTTATCTGACACAGGAAGTTTTTAAGAACTGTCCTCTGGGGAATGTAAATATCCGTTCATCTACTAGATGTTGAGAAACTGTGCACAAGATAAGTGGGAAGTTTGACCTGCTGGTGGTGTTAGAGGAAAAGAAAGAACATGCCCAAAGTTGAATTAAGTTTGTTTGTTGTTACCTCTGGGAACCGTGAATGTCTGAACCAAATAACATGCCAATCCATCCAAGAGTTGCTGAGATATTTCAATCTGGAAAGCCAAGCTCAGCCCATTCACTTTTAACATAAACATGCTGTTGTCATGGAAATCATATATTTCCCAGTGCAGAATTGAAGCAAACCCTTGTCATATGGTTGATTTTTTTAAAGGAGAAAACACAGAGGAGTACATGAAAACAAAAACTCAGCTGGGTCAGTGTACCACCTAGGGCAATATCAGACATCTGGCCCTGAGCAGATGCCAACATAAAATTTAAAGCAGGAAGACTGCTCCCTAACACTGTGACCTTAAGAACTCCACTTCCCATTGGAATGGAGAAGCATAAGATCACAGATGTTCATAGACACAAATCCCGGAATGTCCTAATGGAAAGTATAATTTCAGAGTCACCATGAACACACACACTTTAGATTAATCTCGGTCACACATACACTGCCCTGCTGCCCCAAAATACTCACTAGAGCACCAAATGTTGATTCATCCGCTGCTCAAAATAATCCCCAATAATTGTACGATTCTGGTTTGTCTGATAAAACCTACAGTAAGTGACTGAGCCACAGATAGGAAGTTAGACAATGTTGAGAGAAGGACTAACATGTTGTTGGTTTGAGTCTAAACAACAGGTTATTGTTAATGAGAAACAGTCCAAGGTTCAGTCCTTGTTTTAAACTAACCAGAGATTTTAACGTTTTGAGTTCTCCTCAGTCCTTATTAGTTATTTCATCTCCCACAGTTCACCCATACCGTCTGAATGGACTGTTGTTTTGGGTCGTTTGAATCAGAATGGATCCAACCTCTTTGAGGTGACATTAAATGTGACAAATGTCACTCTGAGCCACTTCACTGGGTCTAATGTAGCAGTGCTGCGTCTGGCAACCAGACCCACCCTGTTCAACTACATCCAGCCCATCTGCCTGGACAACGGACAAACCTTCACTGTGGGCTCGACGTGCTGGGCTGCTGGCTGGAGCGCCGGGCAAGGAGGGGGTGAGTCCATAACACAGTTTGACACAGTAATGCTAACTCTGCATCATTTCACCTCTTTAGATTAAACACTGAGGTCATCGCACATTTGTTATGGCACTAACAAATTGGTAAAAGTACGTTTGCCCATTTAGTTTAGGTTCTTGCTATCTAGGCTTGATTCAGATGTTTCACTTTAAGTCATTTTTTTATTTTTCCAAACTCTAGTGGAACAAGTTCTGCAGGAGGTCCAGACCTCGGTGGTAAACTGTGGAAACGCATCAACAAGTGACAGCATTTGTACGAGCTCTTTCACACTGGGGCAGGTGAGTAATGAGAGCAGGAGCTTATTCTACTTTCATGTGGCTTTCTATTTTATCAAGGTGTTTGTGGATCCTTTAACATTAGAACTTTTATTCTTGACCTTTGAATCAACAGTTGAGAGAACAATCTCAAAACAAGCTCCATTTAATAGCTGCTCTGAAGCTTTAGATTATAGCTATTTTTGTGAGACTTCTCGTCCATGTTCAGACATACTGTATATGCATGAGTATATGCTTTCCCCTCTCACCTTTTACTTGATGTTGCAATCGCATAGTATTGCTACATCACTACTGCTTTATTCTGCAGTTTGTCTATCATCACATGATATCTGGTTGGTTAGCCATCACCAGTTTGTCAGTCTGGATCTTGAAGTCCCACAGGATCTTGGCTCGGTCATTCTCAACTACCTTAGGAGGTGTCTTCCATTTTGACCTTGGGACTTCCAGCAGCCGGCATACTGGCATTCATGGAACATGGATCATGTCAGGGCCTGGTGCTGTCCAGCTCCTCATACCTGATTCTTTCTTGGATGTCGGCCATTATAATTGTTACTGGACTTGGTGTCTGAGTGTGGAGATGATGAAGACATCTCCCTGCTGACATGTCGTCCTGGCTTGTTGTACCTCATCAGTCTCTAGTTGTGATAGCAGTTACCGCTTGTGGATGTTAGAACAATGAACTAGGAGTTGTTTCTTTGTCAGTGTGATGGATTTTGAAGGATCCATATATCCCACAGTCTCTAACCGGGATTGTTTGTACATCCTAATAGTTAAATTATTTTTCAGTTTTCAGATAAGTCTGAAAAACTGGTTATTAGGAAACGAAAGGATTGTGGTGACCATGGAGGAGCTGATGTTAGTAAAGCAAGTTAGGGATGTAAACTACTACTGAAGAGAGGTTTCTTTTGGATTTTAATGTACAAATTAAATGCTTAGTAATTATACATAAAGGGGTGAATGAATATGCTGATACGTAACATGTTACTTATTTTTTATGTTACTTTCTACAGATAACTGTCAAAACCAATAAATTAAGTAACTAAAAAAAGGGCCACTTGAATGATCCAATCAATAATGATTCTGAGGTCATACTAACAGGGTTGTCCCTGCCATTATGAGGTTTAGGTGGTGAAGCCCAAAACAGTTTGTGTGCTGTGCCATGAATGTAAAATCAAGTGTAAAATTGTAACTTGAGCTTTTGAAATGCCGCTTCTAATCAGCAGCATTTATATTTTTACCAATCTGTTTATTTTTAAGGGACAATGAACATCGATCAACATCACTTTAATTGTGGCAGTTTTAGCTAAAAGGCAGATTTTCATCCCATAGCCACAAGTTAAATTAGCCATTACATTTACGAAGCAAACATGAGATAGGTATCAAATGTCTCATGTCACTCTTAGCGAGACAGTGAAAAAAACAAACGACCCTTTTAAGTATTCCTATCAGCCATAAGGATTGTCTGTAAAGCACATTTGGTGAAACTTAGAAAAATAGAACATTACTTTCTGTAGTTTCACGAGAAGTTGGACTTGAACATTTCCGTCTTGCTTGTTTGTTCAGGGTGATGCTGGCGGTCCAGTGATGTGTAAGCAGGGCGGCTCTTGGTTCCAGGCAGCAGTGTTGTCAGTTGAAAACAACAGCACCAGTCAAACACAAGCAGATCCAGTGATGGTCTTCACCAAACTCAGCCGCTTTCAGACCTTCCTGGCTCAGACAGTGGGGACGTTCTTATCTCCAGCCTCCAACACCAGCAGCACCACAGCTGCCACCAGTACTCTCACCACCAGCAGCACAACTGCCACCAATACACCTACTACCAGTGGGGGCGCTCCTGCTCACTCCCCCTTCTTCATCTTCCATCTCCTCATCTTCTCTGTGTGTCTCCACCTCTTCTTATAGATGCAACAAGCACAAAGTAATGTCAACAAGCTTGAATTTAAGAGACCCTGTAGGCTTAAAGCTGCATTAACTAATCTATGACTTGATTCTGACTCTGTTGGTGACCACTGGAGATCAAAACATGGATTATGGACGCTAACTAATTTTAGTTAGTTAACTCTTGTGCTTTTTCTTTACTTTTTAAATAAATGCTTGTGTATATGTCACAGCCTCCCTTTAATGACCCCTCCTATGTGACAAACTGTGAGTGTTTGTTTTTTTTTTTTTCTTTGTGTATTTCTGTTTTGTCTGGTTTGCTCTCTCTCTGATCAGACGCCCGTTCCCCACTGGATCCTTAAGACATCTTGTGAAGAGTTGTGAGCTCGGATTTGGTATCATCTGCCTAGCCCCTGCCCTCTGACTCCATGCTTATCACTCTACTGAATCTCTGACAGTATATACATGCTGGGATGAATATATTGCTGACCTCTTCTACATAGAACTCCAAATCCTTTAACACACTATCTATTAATATTCATTACATTTTTAAAAAGAATTCCAGACAAAAGTTTAGTATATTTAATGAAAAGGAATTAGGTAAATCAGTTTTGTCTTGTTTCAAGAGTTGTGCCCTGAGGTGAATATAACTTTAAGTTATATTCTATTATTCATTATTAATATAATAATAATAATTACATTTTTAATATAAATCTTGATGTCATTTGAACCCTAATCTCAAGCACTTCTTCTAACCACCTGCTTATTGGGCATGACCTCGTGTTGTGTTCTTTTTTTCTTTTTTCAGGCTTAGACTCTGACCCTGACTCTTGTACACCTTTTTCTGTTCTGGGCCCTTTTCTGTTCCACCAGTTCCACCAGTGGGCGCAGTTTCCCAACACATCTCCTGCCATGAGCTTCTGTGGAGCAGCCAGTTCACCCTGTCCTCTCTAACCAGGCACTTCCTCTTAAACATTCTAATGATTGCTATGATTTTTCCTATGGTCTCTTTATTATTGTATTGTATTGTTCTCCATTTGTTCTATTATTGCCAAAAGATCTTCATTGATATCTACACTGACCCTGTTTTGTTTTTTCCTAAGATTTTTTTCTACTACTAGTCCTCTTCTGGAGTCTCTACAGAAATGCCAGCAAAGCTTCCCACCAAAGGTTTGTGCTACCTCTGTTTCAAAACCTCGTTCTTCCTCTAACTCAGTTAATCTGTTGAGGAAAAACTGGATGTTTTTCTGAAGTTAGTGGTTCTTATGATGATGCTTTTCACCAGAAATATGTTTTGTCCTGGAGAGCTTAACTGCTTTACAAGTTCTGCTTAGCCATTCACTTTTAGCAGTGACTAATGTGTCTTATGTGTTACGGCTATGTCCACTGTTTCAATCCCACATTGCACTTATGGTTCATTCAATGTTGTTATCCTATTTTTTTTATTTACAGAGGGGAGGACTTCACCTCCTCTCCTCACAGCCAAGGTTATTCTTTTCACTTCATTCCTTCTTTCCTTTCCTGCTTAGAGCCCAAATCTGTGTTTGACTAATCTCCACCACAGGTTGAAATGGCTGTCCCCACCACTTTTTTAAAGCGTAATTTGTTAAAAAGAACATTCTGAAATATAGCTCGCAGTTGAACAAATGAAAATGCCCTTAGAAAGGTTTATTTTCACAATAAAAAAACATGTAGTGCAATTAAAATATAGAAGAATCAAATGTGCATTGTCCAAAAAAAGTAACTTAAGCTAAAAAAAAAAACACAAGCTACTGATTATAAGATGACCCAAAACGTGCAACACCGATCAGTAACTTTAGCAACTTCTATTTGGCCAAGTTTTCCGTTCTCTCCCTGTGAACATGACAAAAGAGGAGGGAAGACTAAATCGTGCCTACACGTGTGTTGCCTCAGCAGGGATGATATTACATGAGAAAAGTTGATCTACAGGAGAAACAGACCTGAAAGCAGCACAGAATGACTGAGAGCTGCACTGACTCAGATTCTGTTATATTTATATATTTGGAAATGTCACCTGCTACCTGAATTTTGTGTTTCCTTTTACATAAATAAAAACATTTCCACCATAAATAGGTGCAGAAAATTTCACCAGAATGCAGGAAATCAAGTGTTCAATGATCCAACACCATCCAACTGACTGGCAGGGAAACTCAGCTATTTAACCTCAGCAGGGTCGTTGGCCAGTTGGTGTTCCTACTGAACGACCATCGTTGGCATCTTCACCTGAGGCCAATAGGTTACGTTGAGTTTCCAGGGAAGTGATGAACCAGCGGTATCGATGACCCGGGCCAACGACCCACTGAGGTTAAATAGCTGAGTTTCCCTGCCAGTCAGTCAGAACTGAAGAAGTCCTTTGGATGAGGGACGAAACGTCTTCCAGTATCTTCAACCAAGTCCAGTTGCCCTTGATTGTAACCTTCGTTGGATTGGTGTTCCTGGTTGCTGTGACGACAGTCGTTACAGTCGTTAGGACTACCAGTGACCAAGACTGAACGACCATCGTTGGCATCTTCACCTGAGGCCAATAGGTTACGTTTGTTGAGTTTCCAGGGAAGTGATGAACCAGCGGTATCGATGACCCTGGCCAACGACCCACTGAGGTTAAATAGCTGAGTTTCCCTGCCAGTCAGTCAGAACTGAAGAAGTCCTTTGGATGAGGGACGAAACGTCTTCCAGTATCTTCAACCAAGTCCAGTTGCCCTTGATTGTAACCTTCGTTGGATTGGTGTTCCTGGTTGCTGTGACGACAGTCGTTACAGTCGTTAGGACTACCAGTGACCAAGACTGAACGACCATTGTTGGCATCTTCACCTGAGGCCAATAGGTTACGTTTGTTGAGTTTCCAGGGAAGTGATGAACCAGCGGTATCGATGACCCTGGCCAACGACCCACTGAGGTTAAATAGCTGAGTTTCCCTGCCAGTCAGTCAGAACTGAAGAAGTCCTTTGGATGAGGGACGAAACGTCTTCCAGTATCTTCAACCAAGTCCAGTTGCCCTTGATTTTAACCTTCGTTGGATAACTATGACCTGGATGACTGAGAATCTTCATAGACAAATGTTCAATGATCAAAATTTCCTGGGGGAGGTCCCCCCAGACCCCTCCGCTAATATCTCAGCACTGAGGATATCTTTAAAATGCTGTTTAAGAAACTTTTCGTCTTGTTCTCGTGAACCTAATATCGCATATCATGATTTCTCGCAAGCTAAGTGTCTCTTCACACCCCTAATCTGAGCCCATATGTCCTCACAACTTTTCAACACAAAGTGACACCCTTGATCTCCACAATATTCCTGTGAACAACACCAGGAATACTAATGCTGCGAAGCTCTCTCTAGTGGCCGTACAACGCGAACACATGACAAAAACGGTCACGTCTTAAAAAATAAATAGCCTGAATTTTTTTTTCGGGGGTGGTGGGTAGGGTCGATGTATATAGTAAGTTAGCTGCTTTTCACCCAGGAGACTGGCATTCAGTTCCCATGTGAAACAAGACTGATTTGTTTTTTAATTAATTTACGTTGTAGCATTAGCTATGTTAGCTTTGTGGAGTTAGAGCTTTTGCTTCACAGGGGTGTGTGCTTAAACGCAAGTTGACTGGCCGGCCGGCTGATTATCTCCCCCCCGCCAGCGGCTGGTGAGCTTCTCAACTCTGAAAACTTCTGAGCAGATTTTCGATTCGCCATCAATTTTCGTAAAACTGCAAATATTTGAAATCGAGTGAATGCACTGATGCACTCAAAATCACAAGTGTAAATATGGAAGGGTACAAATTGAGACACACCTCTAGTCTTGCATAGCAGGCCTTGATTCAGTCAGATTTAGCATGGTGAAAATAGGCCCCGTCCCTCTACTGTGCTTGGGGAAGTTGGTCAAAGGAAGTGGGCTTTCAGGGAGGGGGTCTTAAAGAGACAGGAGCTAAAACTAAGTGTTCAGAAAGAGGATGAAAAGAGGTCCAACGAAGTTTAAAGTCAAGGGCAACTGGACTTGGTTGAAGATACTGGAAGACGTTTCGTCCCTCATCCAAAGGACTTCTTCAAAGGTCCCAAGCGCCCAAGCCAGAGAGGAGGAACAGAACCAACTGAAGGGGGCACTTACAGCCTGTGGATACCCTAAATGGACCTTTGTGAAAACAGCCACAAGATCCAGGAAGAACAAAACTACAGGGGAGGAGGAAAAGAAGGTCAAACGCAACAACATTGTGATTCCATACGTGTCTGGAGTATCAGAGAAACTCAGGAGGATTTTCAACAAACATAACATCCCTGTGTTTTTTAAACCCAAGAACACACTAAGACAGATGCTGGTCCACCCCAAAGACCGCACACCCAAACACAAGAAAAGCAATCTAGTGTATGCGGTCCAATGCAGTGAGGAATGCACAGACCTGTATATTGGGGAGACTAAACAACCACTACACAAACGCATGGCTCAACACAGAAGGGCCAACTCCTCAGGTCAAGACTCTGCAGTCTACTTACATCTGAAGGACAGAGGACACTCGTTTGAGGACCACCAGGTGCACATTTTAGACAGAGAAGATGGATGGTTTGAAAGAGGTGTCAAGGAAGCATCTACACCAGGGTTGAGAAGCCGTCATTGAACAGGGGAGGGGGTCTACGCCACCACTTATCCCCCACTTACAATGCTGTCCTTTCATCACTTCCCAGGAAACTCAACAAACGTAACCTATTGACCTCAGGTGAAGATACCAACGATGGTCGTTCAGTCTTGGCCACAGGTAGTCTTAACGACTGTAACGACTGTCGTCACAGCAACCAGGAACACTAATGAACCAGCGGTATCGATGACCCGGGATAACGACCCTACTGAGGTTAAATAGCTGAGTTTCCCTGCCAGTCAGTCAGAACTGAAGAAGTCCTTTGGATGAGGGATGAAACGTCTTCCAGTATCTTCAACCAAGTCCAGTTGCCCTTGATTTTAACCTTCGTTGGATAACTATGACCTGGATGACTGAGAATCTTCATAGACATGAAAAGAGGTGCTAAAGTAATTGACAGTATGAGAAAATAAACTTTTTTCAAGTAGAAACCCTAAATACAAGTAGCAACATCAAAATATGTTTTCTACTGTACCTTTAAAAAGAATGTTTACATATTTACCATTAATTGCCAATTGACGATGATGTCTGCCTTCCTTCCCAGTCTGTAAAAAGAGGTAGAGTGTGTGAAATGTGCATCATACATA